CACTACCTGCGACGAAGGCAGGTTCTGTGGTAAAAACCGACCGAAAGAACTCGGCAAAATGTTCTGCTTTGTTTTTGTAGTCGGAGATTTCGAGATCATCATCATTTTAAATAACAGGAATCGGGTTCCTGTTACGTGTGCTCTTCCTCAAATAGCTGTATAGCAACTTCAGATTTGTGACAGCTCGACAAAGTAAATCGCTCTCAAAGTCCCGTTGTCCTTTGAAAACCATTTTTTACCTTGGTTCGCTGGATTTCGTACTGCTCAAAAGCTTCATTGCGGCTCGTTTTGCAAAACTTCTTCCAAAGCTTTCCTTTTTTATTGATCTCTCTTTTTAATTCTCTTTTCAGCCACTGAGGGCGGTTAGGTATCTTGGGAACTGATATTGGACAATGACTTTACATTAAATGCGATAACCCCATCCTTAAATTTATTCCAGTCCTTAGTGACATCCCCTGAGAAAAGAAGACCCTCCTCGGCCCGGACTAAGGTCACTGAAAGAGCTGTCATATTTTTTCTGCTGAACTCTCAACTCGATCTATAACTGTATGCATCTTTGGTTAGTATCGTACCTTTGAAGTCAGGTTTTTTCATTTGAAACAAACTCCATTTTTGACCAAGCACAAAAATAAAACAAAACCATTACTGACTGCAAAAGTAGGAGTTTGTTTTAGGTTTCTTTTACTGTCTTCGATGTTTTGGAAGGCGACCAAGGGGTGCCTTATGAATTAACTCAATTTTACCCTGGCCTGTAAACTGGCAAGAAATAAATAAATGAGACTTTTGACCCTGCACCTCTGCGTCTTGTAACTATTGAGGGATTCAGGTGTCCTATCAATAAAGGACCTTTTCCACAGTTTTCTCTTCTTGTTCTCTTCCATTTTAAAGAGTGAACCAGCTAGGTCTTTTCGTTAGTTTTGTGGGCGTGACGGTGCAGTGGCTATTGATGTGGTCATGGACTATCTCTTGGAATAACCCTAAGTCAGCATCAATTCTTTCCTTGGGGGTGTCGGCAGTGGACT